AGTCTTTGGAATTTCCCATTTCTCAATAGCTTCGATCTTGATCGGATCCACTTTAATCCCTTTTTCTAAGATAACATGCCCCAGAAATTGAACTTCTCGCTGCAAAAATTCACACTTTGACATCTTAGCATACAATTTATCTTGTTTCAACAATTCGAAAATTAGTCTCAAATGATGTGCATGTTCTCTTTCTGATCGGGAATATATCAGAATATCATCAATGAAAACAATCACAAATTTATCCAGATAAGGACTACACAACCTATTCATCATATCCATAAATGATGCAGGCGCATTTGTGAGTCCAAATGGCATCACCAGAAACTCATAATGACCATAACGTGTACGGAATGCGGTTTTCGACACATCTTCATTTCGAATCTTCAATTGATGATAACCAGACCGCAAATCAATCTTTGAAAAATAAGTAGCCCCAACCAATTGATCAAACAAGTCATCAATTCTTGGGAGAGGATATTTATTCTTGATTGTCAATTTATTCAACTCCCGATATTCAATGCACATTCTCATTGATCCATCCTTCTTTTTCACAAACAACACCGGTGCACTGCACGGAGAAGTACTTGGTCTGATAAAACCTTTATCTAACAGTTCTTTTAATTGAGACATTAATTCCTTTAACTCAGAAGGAGCTAATCGATATGGCGCACGCGCAACAGGTGTTGCTCCAGGAATTAATTCAATCTGAAAGTCTATCATTYGATYCGRAGGTAWGTTTATCAAATCTTMTAGAAATACCTCAGGAAATTCCCTTACAACTGGAATATCCCCCATCTTTCCCTTCTCTTTCTTCACATCTATAGCATATGCAAGAAAACTAGCACATCCTTTCTGTACATACATCCTAGCCCTCAAAACTGAAATTAGGCTAGAGTAACGATCACGCTTATCCCCATATATCACAACTCTTCCTTTCTCAGGTAAGTCTATATGAATCATCTTCTCATTACAGACTATATTGGCTTGGTTTTCAGCTAACCAATCCATGCCTATAATTACATCAAATTCTCTTAAAGGTAAAGGAAATAGATGTATAGGTACTTCACATCCTTCTATACTTATAACACACTCATCAATTATTTCCTTCACCAAAACCTCACTATCATTTGCTGTTTCCAMAATTAGATCCTCACTTAACGCTTTAGATTCTAAATGTGTGCAGTGAACAAATGATGGTGACACAAAAGAACTATTTGCACCCGAATCAAATAAAACTTTGGCACATACTGAATTAACAAGGAATGTACCTGTTACCACTTCAGGGTGCTCTTCCGCCTCACCTCTCATCATCTGAAAGGCTCTCCCTTTTGTATTAACCTATGTCTGTCTTGTCCCTCCCCGTCCACTTGGACTAACACGATTATCCATTTGCCCACGACCTGTTGGCATATATCCAGATCCTCGACCCCCAGAATATCCAAATCCCCGTCCTCCAGTAATACCAAACCCTCGATTCTTTGCTTGCGGACAATCAGTACTTATATGTTGAGATGAATTACAAGTAAAACACCTCCGTATCACCCTACAGTCTCAAGCTATATGTCCAGGTTCCTGACATTTAAAGCATACTCAATATTCTGTATTGCAATTTCCCTGATGTATTTTATGACATCGGGTACACGCCTTATCATTAAACCTTGAAACTGATCGATTCACATTTTCCATAAACCTTGTTCTACGGAAATCAGTTAACGTAGCTTCCCCTTTTCTCTTCTCTCCAACCCTTTCTTGCGGTTGCCGGTTAATATCTTGTTACAATATTTCAGTAGCATCAACTGCCGCTTGAAATGTTGTCGGATTTCTGGATATCACATACTTTCGAAGATTTGACTCCAATCCCCATATATACTTTCTCACCCTGCTGTTTTCAGATATAATATAGGCTTCAGCAAACCTAGATTGTTCCATGAAATCTTCTGTATACTGGCGGACTGACATGTTTCCTTGCTCAAGACGAAGGAAATCATCTTCCAACTCTGGAACTGCAGCTTCAGGACAATACTGCATTTTAAATTTTACCATGAATTCTTCCCACAACATGGTTTTCAGAATGTTTGGATCTGAACTGGACAAGACTTCCCACCAATATAAAGCACTTAATCTCAAACGAGATACAGCAAACATAACTTTGCCTTCTTCAACACTTTTACTGATTTGCAGACTCAGCTCTATCTCCTTAAGCCAACACATAGCTTTAACAGGATCACGCTCACCAGAAAACTTAGGAGGTTTACAAGCAAGAAACATCTTGATATCTTGTCCTTTTTGCACTGAGGACGAAGTGATGGGTACAGATGTACCAGTTACCGGTGTACTAGCTCCAACTTCCTCCTGATCAGAATTTTTTACCACATTTGGACTAGTTTGGTTCGTATGCCTTAACAAATTTACCAAACTCTCCTGAAATTTTCCCAACTCTGCTACCAACATATCTTGAGTATATACTCGGGGTCAGAAACATTATGTCCACCCCTTGCTCTTCCTCGACCACGGCCAGACATTGAACTTTCTTGGGCCGACAATTCCTGTTCCTGTCTAGTACCTCTACCTTTTCCTCGTCCTCTGCTATGACTTCGTGTTTCTATTACATTTTCTGGATCCTCCCCTTGTATAACATTTCTTCTTCCTCGACCTCTTCCATTACCAGTTGAGATCCTTCCCGATTGATTGGGATTATCTGYCATTTCTCAGTATGTAACCTTTTCTGTCACATTTAAACACACATGATTATTCTCATAATCATAATATAACAACACATTTATCCTCTTATTTACTCATAACTCAGATTATATCAGTCATATATAATCTATCTTTCTCATAATAGGTTCAGCTATAACATATTCCCATGTTCACAGACCCAGTGAAACCTATTAACATATTCGCAAATACCCAGATCCC